AATGAAAAAATGCTTAAAAAAGAAAAAATTTTTCTTTTTTCAAAAATATTTGTCCTATAATAATGATTTGGAAAAAGAGAGAGAGAAAGAGAAGGAATTTCTGTTAAAAACGAATTTCATCGCGTGGATTGTAAATTGTCCAAATAGCGTGTTGTTATAGACTTCGTTTTTATTTTCCAAATTTTTTTATTTTTCGAATTTTATTTTATTTTTATTTTTTTCATTTATCATAAGAAAGGTTGAAAATAGGTAAAAATGCATTGCTGGCAATAATGAAGGAGAAAATAAAAAATGATTAATGACTTATACCGTGATCTTAAATCATTTCTTTCTTTTTTTACCCAGCCCTTCTCTCTCTCTCTCTCATTTTCACCCTTTTTTTCCCTCCATTTCTATATTGCCTTTTCTCCACCATCTTACTTCCCTTTTTTCCTCATTCTCTATCAAAATTATCCCTCTCTTCTTTTTAATCTCTCTTCCTCCACTCTCTCTTCCCGCTTTTTTGATCTGAAAACTGAATCGAGTACGATAAAAATCTCGAAAGAAATGGAAAAAAAAGAAGTGATAGTGATGAAATTTTGAGATAGGAAGAATACTAAACAAGGGAATAGAATAGAATAGTTGAAATGAATAGAATAATTGCAAGAAGGAGAATAGTTATCGAAATACTAAATGTAACGAATAGAATATTTAAAAAATTAAAAAATAATAATAAAAAGTGTGATAATAGATAAAAAAGAAAACATATGATAATTAAAAAATTAAATTTGAAATTAAAAAAGTCGTTGAAATTTGTCAGCCATTATTTTAAGTGGAAGGTGCGGAATAAAAGGAGTATGAATATGAAATTATGGTTATACAACATATACTATCTGATTCTTTTTTCTGCAGTAATCATAATAAATGGATTTATAAAATTTAAATTTCAATCAATTCTAAATTAAATAGTTGTAATAAGTGCTATCAGCTAGTTTATTCATAAAACTTTGCTAGTAAATTCAATAAATAAAGCGAAAGGAAAAAAGAAGCAAAAAAAAATTGATTCCATTTTTTTAAATCCTGATTAAAAACAATGACAATTATCTCTCAATTCATATATTAATTTTCATATGAACCATAAAAAAATGATGAAAAAATAAAAATAAAAAAACCACCACATTAATTTCATATAAACAAGTAGACGAACTCATCCTTTTCATTTTTGTTTTCGCTCTTTTTTGTTCGCTTTTTTTCTGTAAGCTAGTAGTGATTGGTAAATTTGTTTTTTGATTGATTTGACAAAAGATGGAAAAAGAGAAGAAAATGATAGACAAGAAGCGAAGCATCGGATGATCGGGAAAAGCGGGGAGAAATGAAGAAGATTGGAAAGAAAAAAAAATTAAGGACAAATTGGGATGTAAATTGGATTATAAATCAGATTGATAGAGCTATTTTGAGAGATGAAAGAAGATTGAAAAGCTTAGGGGAAAAAGGATATGAAATTTAAAAATATTTATTTTCTACATTGTCGTATTATTGTTATTGTTGTTGTTGAATTACTAATAATAATAGCAGTATTATGCTGATTTAGTTGAGAAAATTTATTTTATAATCTTAAGTAGCTAGCTAATGCGCCGAAGATAATTCTCGAAGATAGCGCAAATCCTTTATCAGAATGATATATCTTAATTGATGAATTGCATTTGAGAATGATATGGCTGAATATGTTTGCACTAAAAATGTCAAAAGCTTTATCCTTTTACTAAAACTTCAACAGTGAGATTGGCTGATAATTTTATAGATAAGAGGAATAATTTGAAATATGCTACGAAACTCTGCATTTTCTAGCTAAAAAGAATTTTATAAATTTTCCATCAAAATCATTCGAATTATTAGCGCATCATTCAAAACTTTCATAAAACCATTAATAAATTTTTAAATCGTCCAAATCATTAACAATTAGCAATTACAAGTTTTTTCTAAATTATTACCGCTTTAAATTCATTTAAATTATTACTGATTAAACAAACCATTTTGAACTTCTTACAACTTATATAAACCATTCGAATTATTCGTATTTATCATCTGTTCGCATAATTTATCATTTACCAACATTATCAACAATAGGGCAAATTGGTAATATGGAAATTAATTGAAATACTTTCTCGTGTAATCTAATAATTGTAACAAAAATTAATTGTAACATATACACAATAAACATGAGAAATTTGAAAATTTCTCGCAACAATGTCATCAATATCAATTCATTAACAATAATGCCATCTTCACTCAATAATCCCATCAGTTAAAATCTATCAAAATCATTTCCGATCACTTTGTCATCCCATTCAACAAATTCTATTGTGCAAAATAAATGATGTAAAAACCACGGGAAGATAAATGGATGATCATTATTAATTGGCACATAAACAATACATAGTAAAAACTACGCTTCTCAGGTAGCATTCATTCGTCAATTAACGCTATTAGATTTTATTTGACAAGGAAATACATTTTCGTCAAAATGCTTTTACTTTCAGTTCGTTTCGCTTCCTTTTAACTTTTCCTCTTTTTTCTTGTAATTATGATTAATCACGGATATGTGTTTGTTTATGATGACAGAGTAATAATTAATGAACATTTACTATAATTAATCATTTATTATAGATTAACTTATTTATTGCTTAGTAAATAAGTAGTAATTAAATTATAATTCTTTTCTTTTTCTTCATTTTTATTACGATAAATTTCAATAGAAAATTTATTGTGATAAATAGCGTGAAAAATTATTGATATTTATAATACTTAGTCAATTATTTATTAAGATTAATTTCAATGTAAAGTTTGATGTCATAATAAATTATTGCATACAGTGAAGCAAATATGAATTTTTTCTTGTGAATGATCGTTGTAAATGAGTAAAATAAATGGCTCGAAATTGAAAAAACGAAATTGTTTTTTTTTTTTAAAAATGAAATTTCGAAATTGGAAAAAAGATGATAAAATAAATAATTGGAAATTAGAATGAAAAAAATAAAGATTGAGTAATGCATAAATTTAAACATCTAAAGTTAGCATAACAAGTCATCGAAGGGGAAAGAGAAAGCAAGAAAGAGAAAGAGGGAAAAGATTTTAAAATTTAAGTAAAATATGCATATAATTTTTTTTGCTCATTCAGGATCGTTTAATTAATTGTGATTTGTTCGCTCATTCAGGATTGTTTAACTAATTGTTTAATTGAGTTTACGTGAGAGTTGATGGAATGAAAAAAATATTTCGTTTATTCGTAAGCCAAATAAATCCATTCTAATAATAATATGATTACTTAGATGAAAAACTAATTAACGTTAAATTATTTATTAATTAAAATAAATTTTTTTGCACAACTTCATCGAGAAATATATCCAAAAATAATTGCTTTTTTGGCTTTACCTTAAAGCTTCTTTTTTCCTTATTTTAGCACAAAAAATAATACAAAAATTTAATTTAAGCCACTTCTTTTCTTATCATTAGCAATTATTCTTTAAATGAACAAAAAAATAAACGAGTGGATAGCAATATTTGTTTAAAAAATTTTTCTTAATGTAAAAAATTTGTCTGAAAAAAAAGTTGATAACAATTAAAATAAAAAGAAAGAAATCTTAAATTAAAAAAAAAAACGGAAAAACTTTTGAAACAAATTTGAAGAAAAAGTTGAAAATTTATTAGCAAAAATCAAACATACGGAATTTCCAAGAATTGTTGTATCGATTGTTTTAGTTTCTATTTTTACCATATTCTTAATAGCAGTAGCAATTGTTGCAGTCGTAGCACCAGTAGAAGTTGTCGTGTTGATCGTATCATTAATGGATGTTGTCGAATCGGAACGCTTTGTGATCAATGATGAATGAATATTTGGATGTTGTTGTTGTTGATGATGATGATGATGATGATGAGATGATAATAATGATGATGTTGATGATGTTGATAATGATGCAGATGTAGGAGCAGCAATTATTTGCTGTGAATATGACGAACCAGTTGTAATTCCGGAAAGACGCCCAAAATTTCCAGAAATTTGTCCAGGATTTAATATGGAATACATATTCCAATGTGAATCCGATTGAGATGATGTTTGTGATTGTGATGAAGGCATCATTAATATTTTATTGGAATTTGAATCATTTTGCATCATCCATATATCATCCATGATTTGATATCACAGTTACACACTACTGTTAAGTAATGTATTAGTTGTAAGAGTAATTATAACTTATTGTTATTTGTTGTTGTTCCTGCTGTTTCGTTATTGTTATTATTGTAGTTATTATTATTGTCGAAAAATAAATTTCGTATCCGACTAAATATTTTTAAATCACTGCTATCCTATCGTTCTATTTCCTTGTTTTTTCTCTGTCTTCCTTCTTTTTTTTCCTTTTCCTTCAAACAAATTTAAACTGCAATTGCACGAAAATTTTTGTGACCTGAAAATAAACTTTTTATCAAGAATAAAAAAAAAAGATCATTTCGTTAAAAGGAGAAAAGAAGAAAGAAGTAGGATTTAATTGATAATGAGAAGTGTCATTCATCTCATACACATTTTATCGCAACTTTTCAATATTATTTTTCAATGTTTGAAGAAAAAAAAAATAAAAATACAAACAAGAAAAAAATTCCGTTCATTAAACTTGCAAAATTTTGTAAAAAAAAAAATAAAAACAAAAATATTGTTCAGAAGACTTTGCAAAATTTTAATTAAGCAATGAAATGTTAAGATTACCTTCTTTTTCCTTTCGGTTTTCTTTTTGTTAATAATATACATATATATATGTATGTATATGGAATTGTTCAATCGTCTGTCAATCCATATCATAAATCAGCACATTTGTTGCTAAATAAATTTTCACAATCCGAAATTAACATTTTTAAAATATCATTTGATATTGCGTAAACAACAATATATATATATATGTCATCTCAAAATATGAAAACACGCTACGTGTATATTACAATAAAGAGTAACACTTATTACGTGTATCGTAGCGTTAAAACACAAAAATACGTAATACATCTGCGTATAAGCGGGATAATTATAAAAGTAATTAAACTGTAACTAATTTCATTTAACCTAATAAATGAAAAAGGTAGTATGAAATGTGCCAATTGCAATTAACAAAAAAAATTGATGCATTTTAAACGAAAGGAAAGAATTAATGATAAATGCATAAAGATTAAATGTAAGTAATAACAATCAGTAAATATTCATTATTGAATATATTAATAGCCAATTACTGTTTAACTGTTCAGTATTTGATTATATTCCCTTTTTATTTGTTTATACAATAATTCATTTACATAATGAAAACGTAAACAGTTAAATTTTTTTTGTTAGAAAAATAATATGCTGTTTTCTCATTCTTCATGTTTTCTAACTATCTGCCGCAAATTTGAACGCAAATTTGTTAAACTGCTAAATGGAGACAATTTTCTCGATTATGCAGCATGAAATTTAATCGTGGAAATAACTACACGGAACAATACATCTGCTAAGACATCTTAATGATATTTTAGAAAAAAAAAAAAGAAATTTGCTACAAAAAAACAAAAACTATCCATTCTATACCTCATTCATTTATCATCATTACTTTAGTGTTAGAATGGCATATCAAAAAAAAAATGTAAATCCAATAATAATGATTATATTGATCTAATCTAGAAAATTTCCACCAAACTATACTGGAAGGTAAGTCAATAATAAGCCTCATATATTTCTTTTCTTTCTAAACTCCTTCTCTCTCTCTCTCTCTCTCCTCTCTTTCGCTTTGTAATAAGAAGACTAAGCTTTCGATATATATCAATATGCTTTCAGATAGGTCAACAAATGGCAAAAGGGAATTCTCTGAAATTATTTCCCATTCCAACATTTACACCAAAATTCTCTCAGAACATGATTGAAATTGGCATTTTAAATAGCCATTATAAAGGAAGATGACGAAAATTTCAAAGAATTTGACCAGGAAATATATCTTCGGCCGAGATTTATAGTTTAAAATTTATAATTTTCGTTTTCCGGTTCATTTCTAAATTTCAAGTTAACAAACAATTTCTTTTTTCCTTTTGTTTTGTTTTTGATTGCTTTTTTTTTCTTTTCATCATCTAAAATTTAACTGTGAACTTGAATATTTATAATTGCGAAAAAAAAATTGAAAGAGAACAAAAATCATGAAAAAAATACGGTGGATGTAAAATAATATAAAATATGCATTTAATAAATATTTAGAAATGAGAATATCAATCGTATTGTTATTCTTTTTTCGAAAAAAATAAATAGTATAATAAATGAAATTTAATTGCTATTCTGCACTTTAATTATCAGGAAGAAAAAAAATTAATTTTAGTTGATTGATTTGATAATATTCCTAAATTTTTGCTGTCACATTTTAATAAATAAAAATACCTTTGAGAAGGGAGACAGGAAAATATACGTAAATTTTAATAATGACTCTCTTTACTATTTTAAAAATTTTGATAACAGAAAATATTGATTATTTTACATTACTTAAATGATTAATTAAAATATGCGTAAACTTTAATAACCTCATTTTACTCCTACTACTATATGTTACATGTCCATATAATTAATTAAGTTAAGTTAATCAATTAAAATTGTTATTTGATTTAACAAATATATTATTTTGTTCAAGCAAAATTTGACAAAATTTTATAACACATTAAATTATCACATAACTAATATAGTCTTACTTATTATACG